TTTTGAATTCATGTATTGCTGAGAGTACTCTACTTTCTGTTTGAACTAAAACCTGCTTTTATTTTGAAATGATAATATTAGACTTATTTAACGTGCTTTACAGCTAGACCTAAGTAAGAGCCAGGACCGCTTTAAAAAAATCAAACACCTGGAGATAATTTTCAAAACCATGCTTAAATAAAAAAAAAACATTCTTACAATATTAGTTAATTTGACCTTTTTATTTTAATATTTTAAACTCAGTCTGACTCACAGGATGTCCATCTATTTCTACTGCAATTATCCTCCCCGTCTGCTGTCTGAGTTTTTGTGTTTGAAACAAAAATAACCTCCAAACTAAACACTGAAAATGGAAACTTTTGCTTAATATCTGGACCTTGCCATAATGCAGTGCAGGCATTCACCTTTCTTTTATATTCAAAGTGGCTACTAGTCCTCTTTTTAGCTCTGGAAACGTTTCACAGTACGACCTAGACTCTGTTTGCTCTGCACATATTTTCACGGGGATTTAAGCGGCCGTTAGATTTTGTGGTACCTGCTTTCTGAATCATGTGTACACTTCTGATTTCAAACAGGGATTTTGTCCAGTTTTGATTCAAATGACCCCAGGGTGTTTGTCCCCTCGTCTTTATGACCTGAGGAGCAAAAAGAAAAGAGGGAAAAGAAAGGAGCGTTGATAAAAGGATGACAAATTTGGATGGAGGACAGACAGACAGACACGGTGCTGTTCAGACTCCCGGGGCCTCTTCAGCAGACAGACTGGGGCTCTAACAGTCTGAGTCACAGGAGCTGGCATGAAGGAATACATTTCCATTTCTAATCTTGGCTGCTGGACAGTCAGCACTTCTTAAAAACAAACAGATTTTAGAACACTGCTGAAAACGAGCCCCAGTCATTTTATATTATTTAACATTTCAACTTTCTATCTTTCAAATGTTTCTCTTGTTTGTCCCTTTAGGAGATTTACATATTTGTAAAGCCAGATGTTACATTTTTCCCGCTCTTAAGAAGTAGAAGGAGAAGTTAATAATAACCGAGGAGGAGTAGCAGAAGTAGTGGTATGCCACAGGAAGCGTGCAACGTTTTGACTGAAAAAGTCAATTTCCTGTCTCACCTCCCAGCTGACATCTTCACACCCACACCCACCCAAACACCCTGATACGCTCCCACACACACACACACACAGAACATGCCAACACTCATCACTCTGCTCTCATTCACATACACAGTCCCAAACTCATCAGCACTTTTTCCCACTTTCCCCAGCATGCTCCATAATTATCACGTAGCAGCTCATTGCACACGGTGCCATCTGTTAGCTGCACGCGCACGCGCACACACCCAAAAACCCACGCACGCACGCGCCACACGTACAAGCACTACCACACACCGCCAGATGCTCAGGATCTGGGATTAATAAGAGAGTTCTTCCATGTATAACTAAGTTTGCAGCATATCATTAACAATTTGCAATAAGAGGATAAAGAGTGTCAGTGAGAGCAGAGCAGCGTGAATTTAAGAACAAGCCGACGCTCAACAGAGGGAAGTGAAATGTAGATAAAAGCAGGATAAAGATTCAGATTGTGAGGAGCATGCAGCCTTCTCCAGGGTTTTACTTTAATCACAGTGTTGGTCAGTCTGTGGGCTGGACTCTCATTGTGTAGAGATAAAAAAGACTGAAGTGAAGTTTTCTTATTTTTAAAACAGTTCTTGATTTAGTGGGGACAAAATATGCAGATTCAAAAATAATAAATAAATATATCGTATCACAATTCTCTGAATATTACAAAATGTTCAAAGATACAATATGTGGATTCTGCCGCTAGGGGTCTCCCGATTCATAGGACAATAACAAAATATGACGTCGAGGCCAACGGGAAGAACGGGCAAAACCGACGAGATAACGTATCAGAGTAATAATTCAAATGATGTTTTTGTCACAGCGATAACGACAGCGTTCAGCAGCGGCCCAGGCGTACTTATGTCTTTGACGTAACATCCAGTGTTTCCACGGCAACGAAAAACATTCTGTCTGCCATGGCGGCTCATCGTGGCTGCTGCCTCAACAAGACACGTCCCGCTAAATCAAAAATGTTTATACATAAAAAAAGGTGCCTAAACATACAACTTAAAAAACAAAGCCGGGGCTGTCTCCAAAATGTTCCAGCAAACGCTCCTGACATTTTTACGAGTACGTTAGAGGATTAGAATCTGCTTTGTATCGACTCCCTGACACCTCCATAATAACTAACCTGTCATGATGAAATACAATCCAAACTGTGTCCGATAAACAACGGCGCAGTCTGTATAAATGTAAGGTAACTGCTCCGGTTCAGCCTGGGGATAAAACAAAGCTGTGATAACACCATCGTAATGTTTAATGAGCATCTCCTCAGGCACAGTGGCGCCATCCTTTTTAACACTCTACGACAAACTACATCGCCCCTACACCTGTCGGAAAAATCTCTGGAAGCCAATTAAATGCAAGGCGCCGTGATACATCGAGCACGCTGTTTGTAATTTACACATTCGCTATCTTGTAGCTGCCTGCAAATCAGTGACAGAGCTGGAGCACGATCAAACAGACTCCCTTTCTCTCAATGCAGCTTTAGAGGGGATTTCTAGTTCCACAGTGTGTGTGTGTGTGTGTGTGTGTGTGTGTGTGTGTGTGTGTGTGTGTGTGTAGGGGGGACTCCCCCTCTTCAATTATTTACAGGAAGCCCTCATGCATCTGTGACTCTCAGAGACAGGCTGAGAAAGCCCAGCAGAGCAGCACAGATCTCCGTTCTGTCTCCTCCCGATTACTCCTCTCCCTTCCTCTCATCCCTCTGTCTACAGTGTTTTAGCTTCTTCTTCTTCTTCTTCTTCTCCACCTTTTATTCTCGTCTTTCTGAAACATTTTTCCTCCTTTCTATTCCTTTTCTCTAAGTCTACAATCATTCTTTTGCCTCATTAGTTATTGTCCTCCTCTCTCTCCATCCCCTCTCTTCAACCTTTCACTTCTTTTGTCTCCATCGTTTTGAAACCGTTCTCCACACGTCTACAATCCTTTCATTTTTTAGTCTCCATCTTCTTGGTTCTCTGTCTACAATTTTGGTCCTCCTCCAACTCCGGCTTTTCCTCCTCGTTTCATCTTCTCCTACAACCAAAAGTTTCCCATTTTCTCCACCTTCTCTGTCTATAACCTTTTCCTTCATCCTGTTTCTACGCATTTATTGTCCTTCCTTTGTCTCCATCTTTTTGGTACTGACTTTTCTTCCTCGTCCGTTTTTCCCTTTTCTCTCTTGTTTTCTACCTTTTCATTCTTTCGTCGCCATCTTGTTTCTGTTTTAAATTTTAATCCACCTCCCTCTCTGCCTTCTTTTCTCTTACATCCGAATATCTCTGTCCCCTGTCTCCTCCTCCTTCTCCAGTTTTTTTTCAATTTTGCACACAACTGTCATCTTCCTGTATCTCCACCTTTCCCCGTCAACAACAACATGTTCTTCTTCTCTTTATTTTCTTGTGTCTTTTGTATGCCTCCTTCTTCTTAATCATTTCTTTTTTTGTCTTCACACTTCCTCCTCTATCGAAAAGCCCTCTCCTCTTCTCATCTCCGTCTTTTCTTCCTGTTTTCAACATCTTTCTTCTTTTATTGCATATTTGTCCTCCTGTGTCTCCAACATTTCTTCTTCTTCATCCTCTTCGTCTGCTGTCTTATTGGTCCTTTTTCTTTCACCCACACGTCCTTTTTGCTCACGTTGACCTCCTCTATCTTCAACCTTTTCTTGGTTTAGTCTCCATCTCTTTTCTCCTCTGTCTGAATTTTTGTCCTCCTTTTAATTTGTCTCTCCTTTCTGTCTACCTTTAATCCCTCCCCATGTTTTGTCCTCCTCTTTGACTACATCATCCTTTTTCTTTTCCGTCTTTTTCCCCCTGTCGACTGCCCTTTTCATTTCTTCCTCTCCCTCTCAATGTCCTTTTCCTATTCCTCTCTCACCTCTTTTTCTTTCCCCTCCCACCTAATCTTTTCTACTCTAACTTTTTTTCCTGATTTGTCCTGGCCTCACCTTCATCCTTCTCAACCCTCCGTTTCATCTCCTCCCCTCCATTACTGTTCCCTCGTCCCCTCTCTCTACCACTCTTCTCCTCCCATAACCTCCTTTGCCCCTCCTTTTCTGTCTCTCCTGTCATCCCCAGCATTAAAAGAAACCAAGGAGAGTAGAGAGGGATGATGCCAGGGAGAGGAGACGTCAGAGAAAGAGTGTGAACCCTCTCTGAAGAGTCAGCATTGAAATAATTCATATTCCTCACAAGCAGATCTACAAGCAGCCGACCGCTTCTCCTCCATCTCGCTTCCACTCCACTTGCTCTTCACCGTCTCCTCTTCCCTCTTTTCAATCATGTCTTTTCTTTTGTTCTCTATGTCTGATTGAAGTCAATGATTTGACAAAGGAGGACTGAATAATTCTGCTTTTTTTATTGCAGTTATAGTTTTCAAAGAAAAATCATTTTAAAGGGGAATTAATCAGACTGTCTAGGCAGCAGTAGACAGGCCATTACCTTGCTTTTAAGTTAGAATTACTGTTTTTGTCATTGTAGTCTGGTGGCGATGACAAGGGCAATGTAATCGCTGTCTCTGGTTAAAGAAACTCTTTTTAAAAGGTGAAATCTGTTGGGATCCTTTCTCTAATGTTGCACAAACTAAGAAAAACAAATCTGAGCCTGTCAGTGGCAGAAACAAGAACACGCCCTTTTTAGCTAACTCACTTTGATTGGCCACTTTTGCACAGCGAGATTACTTCTCCAGCCTGCAGGCCGAAGCAATCCTAAAACTTTGTGTACCTATCGGTGATTTGGAACACAGAATATGCAAAGAAAGGGCCTGTGTTGCTTTTCATTGGTTTCCCAATCTGAATCCTTGCAGGGGGAAAAAAAAGCAATAAAACTTTGCATACTGTTTCTGTCTGCGTGTGTGTGTGTGTGTTTTTGTGTGTGTGTGTTTCTTGGTGTTTGCTCACCGATGAGTAGAGGTGACCCTCCCCGTTCATGGCGATGTAGAGGCCGGTCTTGACTGATTGGATGGCCACGACTCTCAGACCCACAGGAATTAAGTTAAACAGAGCTGAGGACGAAAAACAAACAAACTCAGTTGACCTGTACAAAAAAAAAAAACCCAAACAGTCCCAGTAAGAGCTGAGATGTCTGTTTATGAGTTGGTTTCATATGAAAGGCCTTCAGAGAGCTTCATGCAGGATGTTTTAAATTAAGATGTTTGCAGAACAATGAGCTTTAAGTATTAGTTCTAATCACACTTTACATTTTCAGAATTGCACTTTTTACTTTTTATAAAAATGTTTCCAGGTGAGGCCCGTTTCCAAGTATGTATGTTGTTGAGTAAGAAAAGGGAATGTCAGTGCCTTGTGGAGCCCCCTCCATCCTCGCTCCCCGTCCATTTTAAGGGAGCGACAGCAAGGAAATAGGAAAGGGGCAAGGAGGTAAAAAACAACACTTGCTCTCGTCTCTTTCTGTTAGGACAGGCTGAATGAATGAATTATTCAAATCTTTTGATTCATGAACTTAAGTACATGTTATTTTCTGACTTAGCAATGACCTGTAGTGAAGAGTACAGACTGAGGACTTCTTATTCCAAGTGTTGACTACACATAACATCCCCATCCTCGCTAATCAAGGCTGCATAGAAATCGCTGTTAATTCTCTTTAAAACAAACATTCACAGTATTATGAGAGGAAATAAAAGTATTGAATGTGCGAAAAGTACACCTGCAAGTAATCATCCTCAATAAACAGCAGACTTTTAAAGCAGCGCCACACTCACACACAGCTTTAATTAACACAAAGATATGCAGGCGTCTGATTAGAGGTGGTAACAACCCTGTGTTTAAATGCTGCAGAAATGTCACTGATGTCTCCCCTCTGCTGCACACAACACTCAGACAGAAAAAACAAATGGAAATCTCTGCAACACGCCGGAGCTGCCGTTCATTCTTTCCGATTTGGCTGTGGAATAAAATAAAAAAATGGATGTAAGGACATTTGCCAGAGACTGATTTATCTCCACACTGGCCAAAAGGAGAAAGAGAAAACCATAGTAAACAAGAGGGACATTGCTACAACACGAGGACGGCTCAGCCAATATGCTGAGGACACTTCGAACCAGTGAGATGTCGGCTGTAGTGATTAGCATTTGATTTTCTCTCAGAATACAGCAGAGGCTACATTAATCAATAAACCATCCATCTGCAGCTCGTCCCTGAGGGCAGCCTCGGGTGCAGAGGTCCAATAAACTGCCCCTCAAAAAATAAAATCCTCTCAATAGCCACTTGTAGCTCTTTCAGTCTGACACACACTGCCTGCACAAACGTCCAAGATGGAGCCAATATGAAAACACAACTCGATCTTTCTGATAGCACACCAGCTCAACTGATACCAATATAGGCTTTCTTATCGATCATATAGGTGCTTAAATGACTGATGGCGAATTCAGATGATATGTTAATTAATCCCTCATAACTGGAGGAACTCAAGTTTTGTGCAAAATGACTTTTCTAGTAGATTGTTTCAGCAGAAAGTCACAAACCAGTTGAATTATTTGTAACTTCGTCTTTCGGGGCAACTTTGTAAATTCAAATACCTCCTCTTAAAGTTCTTATCTCCCCCACTAACAGGCTTATATTACTATTTTAATTATCTGGAAACATTACAGACAAGATCCCTAAAACTCCCTAAAAGATTAAACAACTGTAACATCGCTCTTCAAACTCACCAGACTCCAGTTACAAAAAATTTAACCTTGCAGAGCCGGGTAATTGCTGAAATACTGTAACCTCGAGCAGTTAGTTTCTTTTTATTGAAATGTGGATTTGGTGCTTTTAAGGATTAGCTCAGATGCCACACAATATTTGTTCAACACAAACAAAGTTACAGATCTAGTTAGCGAAAAAAAACAAGCAACTCCCGAGTTTTGGAATGCAAAATGACTGTTTTCTATCAGAGGAGTCTGGTAGCTTTAAAAAAGACTTCTTCTCTTTTCTACCTTTCTTTTAGAGATAGAACAGCGGAAAAAGTCAGAAACAGGTGGAAGCAAAAGAGAGAGTAGGGAGCGACATGCAGGAAGGAAGTCACAGGCACAGATTGCCTGCTCAAGTGGACTTCAGACTCCGTACATGTGCCAGCCTAACCTCTAGGTCAACAGCACCCCTGGTTAAAAAAAAAAACTTTACCGAAAAGATTTATCTCAGATCCTTTCTGAAATGTTGTGAGAAACTTACAACAATGCCAGTCTATTAGTTAGGACATGTTTCCTGAAATTTACCTGAGCAGTTAAAAAACTTGGTGTAGAAATATCTCCTTCAACCTGACCTCCAAGCCTTTGTGGCAGAGAGAGTGCTTGTAGGAAGGGGGTGGGGGTGGGGGGGTTGTTTAGTTTGTTATGTCAGTGTAGAGAGTTGACTCATTGATCGTTTATCTGACTTCGTTTGTGGAGGTCGTAATCTATCACCTCTGCTCTGAAATATCAGCAGCCTCTCTGTGCTGTGTATTGATAAATTCATGGAGCTGTCCGTGGTGCTGAAGCAGCCAGTCACATTTGTAATTCTGGGCTCGGTCCTTTTTGACAGTTTTTGATGAATAGTAATGATGGTGATTGCCTCATAGAATATCTGCAGGGCTCTGTGCACTCACCTTTGACACCTGACGTCACCAGTACCTATGTCCTCCTATAATATACTAAATGGTTTGGGCACTAAAAACAGACTCGTGTTTTCGGAAGCTCTCTGTATTCTTTTGTGTTATAAATTAATATCCCTTCTTGTTTCCTATTAATATATCATATATGGTATGGATTTGTTTGTCCTTACATGAGTTGGTGCTGTCGTCTTTGGTCCCGTCCAGACTTCCATCCTGGCCCATCTGGAGATAGAAGCCCTGCCTGCAGAACAACCTGGTTACTATGCCCTTCAGCTGTGGTTCTGCAAACACAAACACAATGAGAGTTAAAATAAAGTGAGCCATAAAAGCAGGACAGGGTACACACTATAAAGCATTTTCTCCAGCTCATGCAGAATGCTTTTTTTTATGATTTATCTACAAATTCATGCCCAGAAATGATTAAGTCTTAAGCACATCTGGGACGCAGTTTGTCGTTAGAGTACAATGTGGCCACTTGCTGCATCCTGAGGGATTTCCTGTGCAGGGACTAGTCAGGCACGTCCAATCCATTACAGGATTCTTGGACTAATCCTTCCCTCATGGTCATTGTTCCACTTGAATTACAGAGATAAACAATTTCTGAAACTTTGATGGTGTAGAGCAGCTTAACACGTTTTTTTATCCACCATATGCTGTTAACTTCATATCTATTAACCAATACGCTGGTTCTTTGCTTGATTCCTTTCATTGAAACATAGATTCATCTCTTGTTGTGTCACCAAACGTAAAACAGTTTCTTTAATGATGTGAAACAGATTTTAATATATTTTGAGTTTACTCTAAAGACGGATTACAGATTAGAAAAAGCGTGACAGTCTGCAGAGATTTCACTTCAGAGGTTCTGGATGTTTTTAACTTAAAGCCCCTGTAAGGAGTTCTTGTGTGGTTTTAAATCAAACTTAAATTAACACTGATGTCTCTATAAGCTACAAAAGTGACCCATACCAGTAGCATAAAGTTGAATTATTTCCATACAGTTCAGGGGGTGGAGGTTTCAGACAAAGGGACTAACAGTAAGATGAAGAATCAGATTCTTTTTTTTTTTTTTTTTTTTTTTTGCATTTTCCATAGAGATTCTGGAGATGTGACATTTTACAGGTGGAGATTTTTTTGTAAGTAAAAGAGTTTGTAAACATGTCACAGGACAAAATCAGCAGAGATAAGAGGGACTACTTTCTCCACCGGGGGCGAAAGAATCCACACAATCAAAAAGTTCCTCACTGTAGCTTTAATATTTAAACCTTTAATGCCCTCAGCACCGTCTGCAGCACTGCAGATTCTTGGATTAAGTTATTAATTTAAGGAAGCAGCCTTGTGAGTATGATTGCACAGACATATTAGTGTTGTATCAGTGCACAATCCACTTTAAAAAAAAAAAAGGTTTACGTTCAATCCAGCCTAAAAAATGTCTTCATATTGTCCGATAAATCAGGTTTTTGTGAATTCTTCCCAATTTTCTTGTTGTAATAAAAACTACAAGAGAGAGTAAGGAAAGGAAGTGACAGAGACTGGCCGAGTCACTGGATAAAGATGGAGAGTGAGTGAGTGAGAGGTGCTAAGACAGTTATGGTTCTTCAGCAGGTAGAGACAGGTGTTTTTCCATCACCTTCATGACGCCGCCTGCTGTAGATTGCACACCTTTTCCACACAGTCACGTTGGTTGGTGGCACTGATTATCTAACCAGGCTCTGTCCTCACACACATTTCCATGCAGCCACACCCGTTCTCGCTCTATAAAATCAAGCAACTTCACCTTCGGCAGCGGCTCAGCAAAAAACAGGGTGGGAATCCCCTTTGAACATGTGTGTGTGAGTGGATGAGTGAAGGTATACCCTAATGCACAGAGACGGGAAAAAAGCAAAGACTGACCCAGTTTTTTTAAAGTGTGTGTGTGAGATAAAAAGAGAGAGAGAGAGAGGGAGACAGAGAGGGAGAGAGGAGGGGTGTTTTCCATCGTTGTTAAGGATCCATCTTGTGCAGCAGGGGAGAAAGGAGCAGAGAGGAGCAGTGAGCTTTGCATCCTGCAGCGCCCAATTTGACAAAGTTCCCCTCAGACTGCTCGTCATGTTGTGCTGTCGATAATAAAATCTCTCTCGGATTAAAACATAATTAAATCTGCTGGAAAAATCTGTTGTATCATTTGTTCATTCACATGAAATGAAAACACTAAATGGGATAAGAACGCTTGTTGTCTGTTTTTGTCCATTTTTGATCCGAGCACCAAATCGGATATCGGAAACAAAAAGATGGAATCCCTAATGACAACCTGAAAGTGAAAATAAGAGACTTTTTAAACTGCTGGACGTCTTGTTTCAGGCTGCAAATAAGGATCATTTTCTCAACTGATGGTCCGGCTGGTTGATCTGCAAATAAGACGGACAATCAGTGTTTCCCAAAGCCCAAAATGACGTCCTAGTTTACCGTCATGGAGGAAACAAGAAAATACATCTGATAAGTTAGAATCAAAGAATTTGTACTCAATGATTGTTAGTCAGAGCCTCGGTCGACTGCACATCTCACGGTCAAGCAAGAGGATAACAACCATTAGAGCAACATGGGGGTGTTTAACGTCTCATTTGTCTGTTTTCTCCAAAGAATTAATTGCTCACAGCCTCATATATTTATATTCTTTACTTGTGGCAAGCTACTTTTACCTGTGCATCAACATTATCTACTGTTAATACAGTAGACACATTGTTCCTTTTCTCCTACTTGCATGCCTGTATGTCTGTGAACTTGTATGAGTAACTGTGATTTCTCATATTCTGTGACATAGAAATGTCGGCACAATAATTTATATTTGGATTTCTTTTGCACAAACATCCCTCCTGTCGTCTTGTCCTTTTCAATCCAAACACAGAACTGTACAGTCTGTATTTTCATGCATTTCCTCAAATATCATTCCGAGTGACAGCTGTGATATTTCTGCTGCTCTCGGATTCAAAATAACAGTTCACCTGCCCAGCATCCGCCCGTCAGAACTGAGCAGAAACCAGCACACAAGCTGCGAATCGCAAGCTCACTGAAATCAACCACAGCTCAATCTTTCTGTCCTTTTTCATGTGACGCACAAACAGAGGAAGGTGCCGAGAACATCACTTATTCACTCCGATTTGTAAAAACACAAAATGTTTTTGTGTTTCTTAAATGTTCCTGAGTAAGACCCTCTCTTTACTCCTCCGTCTTTCTGTTGGTTTTAGACTCGTCTCATATTACAGCAGGCGCTCTCTGTGGCGGCATGCAATATCAGAGTACCTTTCCTCGCCGGTGTCGTGACTCAGCAGATGGGGAATTTTCTGGTGATTTATTTTCTCATCAAAGCTGCCAGAAGCCAATATTTTGTGGCTGTGATTGTCTCTAACATGTCTCTCCATAGATACTTATAGATACTTTATATTTCTTTAGACATGTTGATGAATAAAACAGAGCGTTAAATGTGTTTTTAAATATTTACTGTGCCTATATTCGACCCGTAGGTATCAAAAGGATTGTGGCTTAATACCTCGGCTGTAAACCTTTCTGACGTATCGCTGCAGGTGCTTTTCAGTCGCTGCACCTGTCCCAGCCGGGGTTGTGACTCAGCTGATGGGAATTTCCAGGCGGTATAATTTAGAAAAACATTTATATCCCTCAAAGTGTTGAAAATAACTCAAGAGTTATCGCTTCTTCTTCATCATTGGTGAGCGTGAATAAAAAGTCTTGGACTGTTTGGTTGGTCAAAAGAAGCAAAAGGAAAACTTCATTTTAAGCTCTAGAAATGGTGATGAGTAGCTCTTAAGTCATTTTTGCCTTTTAAAAGATGAAACAGTTAATATTGGAGATTATCTGCAGATTAGAGGATAAGGAAAATAACAGAAATGTGCAGCTCTATAAAAGTCTCATTGTTGGTGTTTGTGTAAATCCCTGCTGTGACAGATGAATAGACGCTGCTCAGGGGACTATCCTGCTGCATCCACTCGGCCTCACCTCGTCATCAGCTCCTATTCATCCTCCTCTCGTCCACTTATCCCTCTATTCATATTCCGACCTGACGCTTCCCGCTGCGACGTTCCCGCATTCGTCAAGTGGATGTTCATTCCCACTCTTCCCAGCACCGCCAACGTCCCGTCTGTTACTAGGGAAATTCCCATTCTCGCGGTTGCCACAGCAACAGCCTCGTGATTCCAGACTGTTCCAGTGAAAGGGTATTCCCCCATCCTCACAGAACACACACACACACACACACACACACACACACACACACACACACACACACACACACACACACACACACACACACACACACACACACACAAAGCTGTATTTCCACCATAATGTGATCTGATTCAATCAGTCAGCCTGTCACACCGCTGAGCTGATTTGACACGTCGTATTGTCTGCTAATTCGCCTCAGTCTGAGTCTAAATACGGTGTTTAACACGGGATGAAATATCAACATGGGTGTCTCACACAAGATAAAGTCCCTCTCTCTGCCTCTCCTTTTTATTTCCTTGAACACACACAAATACACACACACCAAACGGCAGCAACAGAATATAACCCATTTCATCCTCATTAACATCACAGTGATTAGTGATTAGAGACACACTTACAGAGCGGAGAAGGAGAGGCTTTCTAGTTCAAATATAAACTCTGTTACATTCAGCTACAGTAAACATCCTTCATGTCTAAAATCTTCTTTTAATCATCTCATTTAACAGGAATTCATCCGAACTGAGAGATTCAATTCAGATCATTTAAAGTCTGCACCTTCTTGTCTTTATTACATCGACATGAATACATTCCTGCAAACATTGATGACAACTATTGATTTTCTATGCTCGCTTATTAGAATGCATCGACAGAAAGGCGAGGGATCACCCTGTATAGATAGCCAGTCCATCAAAGTTTCAACATATAGACAAACAGAGTCTAAAAGCTCGACTCTCACTGAAAAGCAATCATCGCCGGCTCTCGGTTTAATGTGAAAAATATTGGCTTCGGATTTCTGAGCAGAGAGGAAACCCCCTTTTCATATCGCTGAATTTCTATCCAGTCATTTTCGAGCCCAGAGGGCAGCTGCTGGAAGTAAGTCCTGTGTTATTCCCTGCCATCACATAATTGGTAGTTTAAATATAATTTCACTCTGTATTTTAGTAATATCTAACTAGCCGGTCAAAGTTGCCTAAAAAATGAGCGGTCGGTTCCTATCGAGGTAAGGAGCACAGATCCTTAAATCCTTACCTTGGCACACCTATAATCACCCTCCTGCTCACTACAC